GCACTGCCCCCCGTCTAACTTGAGCCCCGGCAGGCCCCCTTCGCACGCAGGCGTGTGCCGCCCAGCCGCCCGCGGGGGGCGCGAAGGCGGCGCCCCCTCGGCCTCTGGCGGTGCCTCTCGGGCACGCCAAGTGGAAGGAGGCGCCCGGGGGCACACAGGCGAATGAGCACAGTTCCCGGGGATCCCCGTATGTTTCCATATGTTCTAGAGTTTCGTCTTCCCCCCCCCACTTCCCATGTGCTCCCACCGTTTCCAGGGAAGCGGCGAACCTTAGTGTCGGTGTGTTTGTGTCCCCTCCTGACTCTTGCCTCCCGCGCGGTGCCGTCGGAGGAGTGCGATGGGGAGAGGAGGAGGACTCGAGAGGAGTGGAAAGGAGGAGGAGGCGGAGGGGGAAGACACGGAGGAATCATTCGCTTATAAGGAAGGAGGGATTAAGCAGGAGGGGGAGGAGGAGGAGGAGGGGAGGAGGAGGAGGAGGAGGAGGAGGTGGTCGAGGAGGGGGAGAAGGAGGAGGCGGAGGAGGGACACGGGGGGGGGGACTCGAGAGGAGGGCGGGGCGAGACACCCCTGGGCAGGAGCGGCAACGCCCACCCCCACCAGGGAAACCTTGACTCCCGCCGCTCCAGCCGCGGGCGCAAGGGGGGGGGGGGCAGGGAGGGAGGCGCAGAGGGAGAGGACTCGAGAGGATGGCGAGTGGAGATAACTTCGGCTACGCGCAAGACTGGCCCCACATCTGGGCAGGAGCGGCCTCCGGTGCGCGGTTTCCGGGAGCCCAGGGGAGGTCATACCCGCGCGCGCAGCACGCTGCTGTCGCATCGCGTTCGCCACCCGGGGACCCCACCGCGCCCGCACCACAGGCCACTCCGACGAGAGGTCACCTGTGCGGCTGGCCGTGTGCGGCGGCGAGGCGGGGCACGAGGGGGAGCAGCATCAGGAGGAGAAGATGGCGGTGTTGACCCCCTCCTCCGGAGCCTTCTTGTTGTTTGTTTTGTCTTAGGGTTTGCCTGCCTTGACGGCTTGCCCATTCTTCATTTCATGACATTTCGTCCTCCTCCTCCTGGTCCTCCTCCTCCTCCTCC